TGGACTAAAGAATGACCCTTCAGAATTCCAAAATATAATGAATGATATCTTCAATCCTTACACTAAATTTATGATTCTTTATATTGATGATGTCCTAGTATTCTCTGAAAATCTAGAAACACATTTTAAACATCTAAACATTTTTGTCAAAGCAATCAAAGTGGTTGGGTTAGTAGTTTCTGCCAAAAAAATTAGTCTTTGTCAAACAAAAATAAGATTTCTAGGGCACAATATTTTTCAAGGCAGAATAATTTATATTGATAGAGCCATTGATTTTGCCAATAAATTCCCGGATGTGATTAAAGACAAAACTGAGCTTCAGAGATTTCTAGGTTGTCTCAATTATATTGCTGATTTTTATACAGATTTAGCTATTGATGCTAAACCGTTATTTCAAAGATTAAAAAAGAATCCTTCTGAATGGACAGATGTCCATACTTCAGCAGTAAGAAAAATAAAAATAAAGGCTAAAGAGTTACCCTGCCTTACACTCTCCGACCCTACTGCTTTTAAAATTATTGAATGTGATGCTTCAGAAAAGGAGTTGGGAGGAATATTAAAACAAAAAAATTTTAATACTGAACAACTGGTTCGTTTTACTTCCCGAGCCTGGAATCCGACCCAGCAAAACTACTCCACCATTAAAAAGGAACTTCTGGGCATTGTTCACTGTGTCGCAAAATTTCAAAGTGACTTACTCTAACCAAAAATTCTTAATCTGCACTAATTGTAAAGCTGTAAAATACATCCTTCATAAAGATGTAAAAAACCTTGTCTCAAAGCATATTTTTGCCCCCAGGCAAGGTATTACTCTCTTCCTTTGAATTTGAGGTTGAACGTATCAAAGGCACCACTAATTACCTTCCTGATTTTTTAACACGAGAGTTTTTGCAGGGGGAACAAGAGGAGTTTAACAAAAAGGGGAAAATGGAAATAGTTCCTATGCCAGGCAAAGCCTTGGCAATATCATCATCACCAATAACCCCAAACCAAATAATTAAAAAACAAGCTCAGGAAATAACTTTTTCTCCTGAACCAATACCAATAGCTATAAATGCAACGGGAGAAAAAAGTAGATTCATAGAAACCTTTTTTATAACTATTACTATAATAGAGGACACTCGTAAAACCAAGGACCCATGTGAAATAGCCGCTATATACTTGAATAACCATTTGCATCCTAATAATGGAGATAAAAGCCGAGAATGGTATGAAACCATCCTTCTTGAAACAGGGTCGATTACCTTAGTTCATTTTTATAAAAAGAATACTAATATGATAGCATATTCCAAATTTCAAATACATAAAATAATTTCATACAAAGAATGGTGCATGGACCCCTTGAAACCTAGAAAATTACAAGCAGAAGGTTTCAACATAAAATATTTTCAATATTTTGAATATATTAAAGCATGGCATGAGGTCTTTGCTTTACAAAATAATACGAATTCCCATACGTGGTTTATACAAATAAAAATACCAGTACTGAGAGAATTCCTAAATTAGTTCAAGAATTGGTTCCAATTATGGGGATCCGGAACAGAAATACTCCCACCCAATATTCAAGCTTCTCAAAGGAAGTTCATAGATCATAACAATAATAATCCCAAAATAGACCTCCATATGTATTTTATGGCTTTATACCAAATTCTATGGATCATGAAGTAGTCCTATATCAGACGATTACACCAATAACTGGGAATACATCCCAGAACTAGGCAAGCAAATATATATAAAATGGTGGGATGTGTACGAAAATGAAGCCCTGAACCCTGAAAAAATAAAAATCAAAAAAATACCATTTTCACCCCCGAAGCAAAAGTTAATATGGCAGATTATGTAAATAAATTTTGCCAGCAGAACCCTAATGCCACTAAAGAAGAGCTCAAAAAGAAGCTGCTACAAATATTCGATGAAGAAGAAGAAGCCATGTCTACGTCTACTCAGAATGAAGAAAGCTATGCGCAAGAAAATGAAGACATGGATTTCGGAATATCACTATAAGAGATATCACAATACACAGGATGGAACGACTGCAACTCAGAAAGCACACGAGTCCTAAACTGCCGACAAAATAGTAAAAAGCTACCAAAATAGTTACTAATGGCATCTTTCACCCTTACCTTTTTCCTATTCACCCCGACAGCATCTTTTACTTTTTCCTATTCACCCCGACAGCATCTTTCACCTTTTCCTATTCACCGACACCTTTAGGTCTCATCCAGAATCACCGACACCTTTAGGTCCCTTCCTACATCACCGACACTTTAGGTCCCATCCAACATCACCGACACCTTTTTCAGCGGAATTGAAATAAAACTTTGGCGTCCGCAAACTATAAAAGGGGACAGGAGGCCATTCAGATGGGGGGGGTCATTCGAAGGAGTTGTTCCGAGTACTCTCTCTCTATAATCTCTCTATAATTTCTCTGTAATGTCTCTGTAACTCTACTCTCTCTCCCTTGAATATCTGGTGGTATATCTAGTCAACCAGATCTCATTTCTATAAAAGGAAAGAATGTTTGTGTATCTAAAATAGTAAAGGTAGGTGTGCTACATGTGTGATTGTAACTGGGACTTGTTACCCGACTACTGTCCGGACGAGTGGAAGTTGTTTCCCAGTTTCTGCAAATGTCATATGTAAGTTATTTGTTTTTCTTCTCTCATGCAGTTCAAAATAGTTATCTATATAAAATTCTGGCATGCTATTTATGTGTATTGTATATTTGTGTGGTTTGTATAAGGGAAAAGGTTTCTATACTTCCCTACAACATACAAGTTTTATCTTTTCCCTCCCATCCAGCTGTTCGAGTCACTCACCGTTTGATCTTAGATTTGATGTCTTAAATTATTTTATTTTTAGTTTTTTAATACAAATTGTATGATTATGAATTTTAGTACGTGCCATCTTCTCATTGGGGCGCACCTATAAAAAATATTAATGATAATTTTTTATAAAAAGGTAATGACCAAAATACCCCTTTAAACTTTCAGGAGTATTTTGGTCATTTTGTTTTATTGAAAATATTTTTTATATCTTTTATTAGTGCAAATTTAATGGAAGAATGGATGTCCAAAATTTTGGTGTCGAAATAGTTTAAAGAAAAAAATAAAATAAAATAATGTAGATACGTGATATTGTAATTGAGGCAATCTTATCCCCCCATTCAGAATGAATGATTGGATAAAGCGGAGGATAGAACTTCTATGCTGTAGGGGAAGCATAGAAAGCTTATCCTTGTATAAGAGTGCAACTCTAAATTTTATTGGAAGATGTCATTTGGTGTGGGGAATTTTTTAGATGGCCTCAAAGTCTATTTTCGAGGTCGAGATGATTGATTTAAGATTTTTCTACTGTTGAAATCACCTTTCTTGATTGATTTTTTAGCAGTATTTTATTTATTTTTAATAACGGGTGAGGCTTGTGTAAGATGCTGGATTTATACTATGCAAGTAAGGCATGCTTTATTTTCTTGTAATATGTAATTCTAATGTCGAAACCTTATGATAACTTGAAAATTCATGTTTAAATGTATTTATAAAATTTAAAATTTTAAAAGGGGAAAATATCATCATACCTCTCATTTTTTGTTTTTGTATCTCAATACACCAAAATATGGACAATACATCTCCTAATCCCCTAACTAAGTTTATCCACCCTTAACTATTTTTTAAATCCTAACAACAATAAAAAATACATGCTCATTCTAAACCCTCTCTCTTTGCATGATATATTCCTCCTAAATTTTCTCTCTCTAACTTTCACCCTCTTTGTCTCTCTAACCGGGGATGAATTCGTGCAAAGATGAAATACATCATTGAAGGAGCTTTAATGAAGGAAAAGCTTTTTGGTCCGAACAATATTTTGGTACTCCCACAGCACAAAGGACTAAATTTCCCTAAATAAAACTCTTTCAATTTATCAGAATTGTAAATTATAAAATCATTTATTTTTGGTACACATAACTCACATTGACTGTTGGCCATTGGATGTTAAGTGCACCACAACATTGGAAAAAGTTTATTTTGAACTCTATGCGCCCTTAATGATGCATCTTCAACCACCCAATTTTGCATCCAACGGTGAATAATGATTATGATCATCTTATATCAAAAATTAATGATCTCATTGTATACATTTCGCAATTTATATTGCCTTACTGATCTGATTATATATCCAATAAAACCATTTACCTTTGATACAAGAAGGTAACAATTAGTAATAACCATTTGAAATCTAATAGCTTGAGTGCGCCACAGTTCAAAAAAAATTATTTTAAAGTTTGAACTTGGTCAATAGAATAAATACGGCCATCCAATTTCATATCAAATGGTCAACATTAATTGTGACCACCTCATACTAAAAGTCAATGGTCCCACTGTACACTTTTTCTTTATTTAATGCTCTTGAATAGCTTCAAATTTCCTGGAATCCTTTCAGAATCATAGGCTATTTCCAATAACACAAGCTAAATTTTCGTTAATAGCAATTCATTTGAAAAATCACTGATCCGTGAGAATGATTGGCCTGATTAAATGAATCCGAGTTGGCCCATGTAATTTACACAAGGAATGACCTAGATCCATGTTTAAATCTTTTTCTTTTTTTTTTAATATCTTAAATTATCAAAGCACCAAAAAGATTTTTCCTTCATTCTCTATTTTTTTTTTTTTTTTATTGATTGTTTGTTCAGATTCGCCGAATCTATATCACCGATCAGGATCAAGGGAACAAGAATCTCAATGATTTTCATTAATGGTGTCTCTTGTTCAGTTACCAGGTAATTTCTCTCTCTGCATTGGGATATCTTACTTGTTTTCACCCAATCTCCTAGCATTTGTTCTCCCACTTTCACTTCTTCATGCTCAGATCTGAATACAAATCTGATTTCCTTAGGCCACCATGTCTGATTCCCAGATGGCATTTAAAACCAGACATTGACTCCAAAGGCCTAACACAGGCCACTTATCTGAAATAGAGATAAGAATTGTTGTATAATATTTCAAGCCTCTCAACTAAGTCAAATAATTTGTGAAGACATTCATCAGTGTATGAATTTATACTCTCTTTAAAAGTAATGCTATGGAAAAAAAATCATCCTACGACAAATATGGTACAAAACCAATTTTAAATTAAAGGTTACTCGCACTTGATGCAGGAGAAACTTACAACTTTGGTGGAATCCCAAAACTTTCAACTTTCAACTTTCAACTTTCAACATTTTCAGACAACCGTTTTCTCTTTGCTTTTCCCATTTTATGGGAGTTTGAATCTTCTCTTGTATCCTCTTGCATGGAATCATGATCTTTGGGCTTTCTCTCATTAGACTTATGTTTCTTGTGACTCCTGAAACACTGACAGGTATCAGCATGAGATAAGAAGACATTAGACTTCCTTATGCAAATATTATTATTGTGTAAACATTCTCAAAACCTTCGTGGAATCGAGGCACTTTCTACTTCATGAGAAGATAACCAACGAACACATCCTGTCTTAGATGGCTTCAGGGACCCAGAAATTTCTATGAATATATCCTCGGTCACACTGCACAGTACAACCCATTTTTTAATACAAGTGGCTGGCAATGCAAAGTATACTTGTGTGCATGTATGGTATTCATGTACATATTAGGAAAATTGAATAGCTAACGACATTCATGTGAATAACATCCAAATTATTCGAGGCAAACATGACCACGAACAAAACAATCTTACCTCTCAACCAAGAAACGTAACACTGTTCCAGTTCTAATAACATGGTCCCCATGATCTGTACTGACCCAAATTGGCTCACCATCTTCCTGTCAAAACAACATAAATGTGCAAGAACACATGGGAAACATATCAATCCCTGAACAAGTAAGAAGCGAGTAAAAAAATATGGCCTATACTGCCTAAATAGCTCAACATTTTGAAATTTTGTCATCACAAAGTACATACATCTTTTTCATAATGGAATTCTTCACGAATGTCTGTGATGGCAATGGCTGCATTGAAAATCCCAAGGACAATGACACCAATGTAGTCTTTTCCAAGCTTATTTACCGTTCCTTCTGGAATTCAACCGTGAGAGAGATACATGAGCATCAATCAAGCATACAGTCCTTTATTTCATGAGTCCACATTTAAACCTCCTAAAAAGTTCAAATTCCCAGCATTCTTCTGTAAATATCACAATAAATGGTGGTCCTAGTGTAGTATAATCATATAAAAAATCATGGGAAGGAACTAATACAGTTCCAACAACAATGGATACATCCAGGTGTAAAACCATTTCATTTTTCCTTTTGCAAAAATCACAATAAACAGAAAAAACAAAAGTGAAAAGTATATAGTACAAAAGAAAAACAGAGACCAATGAACAAAGAGAGTCAATGTTACATGAACAGATACGGGTGTTGTGTCTATTACGTG